TGAAATGTAACTGTAAGTTTTAAATTCTAGTCTTTATGATTTCTAGTGATTACGTGAATTTTAACAGAACAGGAAAAGGAAACAGAACAGAAAAAAAGGAAAAGTTCGTAAGAAAGAAGTGACTTATTGTGTGCAAAAAGGGGAAAAAAAAACCCTATTAGGTTTCTGATGAACACAGTTCCTTAAAATTAACTCCTTTTGATTAAAAGAAACTTAGCTTTGAAAGGGTCGAGCTTGATATAACAGAATAATGTATTTACACTGCCCCAGCACAAAGACAACTGAGTCACACAGCAAAACTCCAACGTTCTAGGCTTTATCAGCAACACAAAACCAGTTTGTGCCCCTGAACAGCACCCGTTCTCTACAGCGGCTTTTATAAAAAAAGTGTAAAAGTTAAAGAACGTGTCTAAAACTAAATCTGCGACTTCAACCCTTTAAAACAAAGGGGTTCAAAACAGTTCTTTCTGCAATATACCTAGGTCCTACGCAGCTATATATACCATCTTTGAGAACAAGAATCAAAGCCAGCTTTAAAGGAAAGCCAAGTTCCACCTTTAGATGAAGGGTTTCCTGAATAGTTTCCCCTTCCACCACGTACTACAACCTAAAAGAGCCTAATACATCTTCTATTTATTTCTTTTAAAAAAAAGGGCAAACTGAGCAGCTAAAACCCAGGGCAAGTCACCAAAGCGTGACCGGACAAACAATTTCTGCAGACCACAACCGTTTCAGAGCCGGTCGTCTCACTTTCTCACCCTGCAACGTTTGTGCTCAAGGCTGTGCAAGGGGCGAGAGGAAGGACCTCTGCATATAACCACGGGTGTTTCTGTACACGACAGGCTTATCATAAAAAAAAAAAAAAAAGGAAAGAAAGAAAAAAGCTCTGACAGTCTCTGGAGGGGGAAAAAAAAAAAGAGAGAAAAAAATAAAATAAAAACCCCATGCCGGTTCCCTCAGCCCCGGGCCCGCCGTCAGATCAAACCCGGAACCCCCAGACCCATCGGGGCAGCGTCGAGTCGCCAACATCTCCCTTCACCCGGCG